CGGGCCGGGCCGGCGCGCGCCACCGCCCCCCCGCGGCGCCGCGAGGAGAGCGCGGGGGCCGCGCGGGCCGGGCCTTGAGGGCTCGTTCGGTCGCGCGGCAGAGCCGAGCCGAGCTGAGGGAGAACGTGCGGGTCTTGTCTTCTTCCCAGCCACTGCTGGCTCCAGCCTCAGCAGCGCCAGGATAAATCAAACCCAAGTGCTTTGCTTCCGAGACTGCACAGGTGTATCGGAGCCGAGCACGGTCTGTCCGCCCGCCGAGGCTTCCGAGGCGGCGGCGGTTTCCCCGCCAGCCTTATCTCGGCATCCTCCCCCCGCCTCTAGCACGGCCTGGCACGGCTGTCCCTAGGAAACGAGTGCTGGGCCCGGTGTGCTGCTCAGGCTCCTGTCGGCGAGGTCTCGACCCCGACGTGTCCCAGAGACAAGGAGCTCGGCGGCCATTTAACGCGGCTGCCCGCGCCGAGCGCCTTCGGCACGGCGCTGCTCTCGGCGCGGGCAGCGACCGCTGCGGGCGAGTGTCTGCCCGCATCCGCTCAGGCAGAGCGGCCTCGCTGAGGAGACATACAAGGAGCTGGCGCCTGGGAAAAATAACAGTTAGAAGCCACACTACGCACCAAGCATTCACGCAGGGACCCGGCCGAGGACTATTTTGGGTGACAGGAAGTATTCTGATCTACGTCCTGCAGGTAAAATGTTTCCCTCAGCCAGTAAAATAAAACACATAATTTATCACACCTGACATTTTCCACTAAGTTACATAAGTGCTGGTGATGCCATACTATCAGCAGTGTGTGAAGATGCAGATTCTCAGTCAGACGTGTCATGTTGTTACTTAAACTGAAAGACATAAACTAGGTTTGCCAAGTAGAGAGGTAGGAAATAATTTCTATAAAGTTTTCTTTAAAAACCCACACAGTTTCTGTGGGAACACAGACAACTTTTGCTTCAGAGCCTTCCACAGGACAGGACCAAAAGTTTCAGAAGCTTACCGCTTAAGCATGAAAATGCATACTGTGTGATGCATTTTTATATTTCAAAACCTCTTAATTACAGCAAGCAGCTAGTTGCTCTGAGCCACCTGATCTAGTTGAAGATGTCCTTGCTCATGTCAGACGGGTTAGACTAGGTGACCTTGAAAGGTCCCTTCCAATCCAAGCTGTTCTATTGATTCTGTGATATTCCACTGCATTAGGGAATGAGTTATCAAGTTTCTCACCAATATCTGTAATTTTGTAATATTTTTCTATAAGCCAAAATTATTTTACTTTACACAAGTTGAAAAATCTCAAACAAGCCGCTTGCGCAAATTTCAACTGAAATGATGAAGTCTGTTTTACCTAAAAGCTGTTTGTATCAAACCGTTATCTAACAGCCAGCTTCTTGTCCGTTTTCAACAGACTCCGATGTGTTTCTTTGTTACCAGTGCTCTTCTTAGTTTGTGTTCTTGTTGTATTTTGTGCGGGAGGTTTTAATACATCAAGCAGATTTAAGATGCTCTTTATTTCCTTGAGGAAACAACCCATTCTTAGCCCTGCTGGGAGAAGCTGCTTATGTTTCTACAAGTAATAATCGTTTACAGACCGAGATAAGGCTTGTAGGAACAAATAACTTGTATCAGACCACAGAAATCATTGGTAAAGCAAGCGGCTGATTTTTCATACCTTGGTAGTTAAGGGGGAAAACAGCTAGAAGAAAGGAAGAATACCTGTTCTTTTATGTAGTACTTAATCTATTTAAAGATGGTGCTTATTTTTATAGCTTGCCTCTCCTATAAAAAGAACCTCAGATTTTTTTATATTATCCAACTAGTTTCACAGTGATTTTTCTCTAGTCATCCAAGTCATACACAACTCTCAACCGGAAATGTTCATTTTGTATTTTTAAGTTAATGACAAATCAATGAATTCATGTGGATTAAGTATTTTCTCTAGTACTAGCAATTTCACATACCAAATTTTTATAAATGTAACAACAGTTACTTCAAACATGAAGTTGAAGGTAGTGAATTTTACAAGATGCTATTACCAAGCAAGAATCAGTCACACAACTTCTAAAGGGCTCAAATTAGGGATTAGCAATTTTAACAATGGTTTCTTAATGTTTTTTCGTCTTGATTCCTGTCCCTTAGAACAACAGGAACAATTAATGTTGTTCATATCACAATACTGGGATCAGTATTTTTATGCTGGCATAAAATACCTGTGAAGAAGTTCCAGATGCAGAAGCACTGCAGGGTCATGCCCCACACATTCAGTCTGGGAAGAGCTGATAGATTTTTTACTTTAAGTAAATATTAAATGTTTCAGCAATGGCTTCTATGAAGAACAGGGGGAGTGTGCTACTGATTGCTCTTGTGTCACTGTCTGGTGGAAGGGTTTGGGAAAATACCATTGAGTTGTATGAAATTAAATTGCCCACGACAGAGGGATTGTATACAAAAGATGTCTCAGTCTCTGAATTGTATGGTATAGACATTCTGCTTTTGGACAGAATTGTTGCAGTTAAGTTGTGAATCCTTTGGGTTCTTCCTGTGAACAAATGATTCAGATGCTATAGTCACTAGGTAATTGGGTGAAAATTGTCGTGCGTGTTCTTTATGAAGGTTAATTGGGTGCTTAAATGTTTGTCTCCAAATGAGACTAATGACAAGTATCTGCTTTGCACAGAGACACATTCTACACTGTCCATAAAGGAGCAGACACTTGACGGAGATGTACAAAATGTTTTACTCATAGGACATGCAGATTGGTTTTGCTTTTCTCAGAGCTGCAGAATAATTGTCTTGCTGAGATTAAGCAGTCTAATTTTAAAGCCTAGAAAAGTGGTAATCATGAGATGCAGGCTGCAAGCAAAGGAAGCCTTAGACTCTGCATACTTAGAAAGCAAAAAACCCCAAACCCCTTTAAATTTCTCCATACTGTGCATAATTAAGGAATTATTCTTCTTATTCATCAGGATTATAGGATTACATCAAAGTAAAATAAAAAAAAAACACCATCACCATCCCCCACCAAGCTAAGCCAAAAAAAAAAAAAAAAACCCACCACACCAAATCCTTAAAGGAAAAATTCTATACAGGTACAAAGAATAATTCTAGGACTTTAAATGCCAAGTTCAGATTTCGTCAATTTAGCAGGTTTACTACACTTATTCCTAGAAGACATGTTATTACCAATAACTTCAGTAGCTTTCTAAGTGACATCTGTGCAAATTTTTAAATACACCACTGCATTGCAACATGAAATCTTGAACTGATGATCACTGGCATTTGAGATTATCTCCATGTTACTTGGGAAATTAGGGAACCAAAACAGTTTCTGTAGTTACCCTAAAATAATTGCCCATACTGAAAAACCTGAACTGGTTTTATAAAGCAGTGCCCGCTGAGTATGTTCCTTTGGCTTTCCTGCTCTAATTTCAAGATTTCCCTTTTCCTTTTAGAGCTGGTAAAGACAGATGCCATGTTTGTCATATCTCAAGAGGCCTCTTTAAGACTGTCCCATGAAGGTAGAGAAATGCAAGAACAATGAAATCCAGTGTAGATCAATAGCAGGATGACAGCAGTGATAGTCTTCAGAATAAAATCTTTTATTCATCAATAAAACTATAGTTTACAGTAGTATTTTCTAAATAAATTATAGAATTTCTCTTTTACAAGAAATAAAGTAAAATCAAAAATATTTCAAGGACAATATATGTACACAACATAAGGCCTTGTTATAAATAACATTTTTATCTCCTTTTTACCAACAGTGAAAGTATCTTTAGAAGCTCATTTTCATATGGTATGTGCAGAGATTTGCCCTAACCCTCATACAACATCAGTTCCAGTTTCCACTGATGTGGAACTAAGCAATTAGAACGGAGTGGGTCAGAAAAATGAAATTGATTTTATTCACCACTGTCTTTTTTTTTAAATAGGTAAAGTAGGTAATAGATTTTGCTTGTGCATAGTTACAGAATGCATGCAAATGAAACCACTAGAGAGCTGATAAGAAAATATTTCTTCAGAGTCCAAAAAAGGTGATTGGCAATATTGTAGAAAGCAGCCTGAATACACAGTTCTTCACAGTTGAGCAAGCAACAGCAGATGACAGCAGAGTGTGGAATGTTTCATGTCATTTTTGTCAAGTCCATCAATTCTTTCTATGGTTCAAATATCCTGACACTTCTTAGAATTAGTTCTGTTGATTATTACTCTTTGTCTATTAGGCTCAGCAAAGTCCTCCTTCTTAAACAAGGAGTGCAGAAAGTGCTCGTCATTAACCATGGTCACTTCTCTTAGTTTTACTCTTCATGTATTCTTCGTTACTGGAAATACAGAAATGACAAGTTAAGAGTTGTGTTTACTTGTTTTCTTACAGAATTATACACAGGGTAACAACTTTCCTCCCCTAAACAGGCTGCAGCAAAATTTGGCAGTGATTCTCTTATGACCATGAGCCCTGGTCAAAAGCACTGGGTCTCTTGTACAACAGCAAACCCCTAGGGGTTTTCCAGGCATTGCAGTACACTTGTATTACGTGAGCTAGAACTACTTGCTGCTGCAAAATGCTGCACACTGTGGATATCAGAGAAACACAACAATCTGAGATCACTCAGCAGTTCACAACAGCTTATTTTTATCTTGCAAAACTGTGGTATTTACTACTTAAAAGTAGCAGTCTTCATATGTCATGAATATCAGTGCTCTCAGCTTCCGCATGATGGTCTTCCCTCAGATGAAAAATCATACCTATAAAAAAACTTTCAGGCACAACTAATGTTCAAGTCAATGTAGCAATCACTCGATTTCACAAAAAAAGACCAAAACAAAACAAAACCAAAAACAACAAACAAAAAAACCCCCAACAACAACAACAAACAAACAAAAAAACACCAACCAAAACAAAACAAAAAAAAAAGTCTCTGCAGTCTCTGAGACATAATAGTAATGAATGTTCTACAAGGTGAAAACTAACTAAAGAGATGATTATCACACCTGAAACTCATACAGACAGCATTACAAAAGGTGTTACCTGTGCCTGTCACTAGATTTTCAGAGCATTCCACCATCCACTCTACAGACTTCAAATTGAAAAAGAAGTACTTCACAGTGCTAAGCAGTATTATTCTTAAAGAAAACTGTTGCTTTATAAACTAAATCCAAAAGCTATGAAGAAGAAATTGTTTCACTGTTTAAAGGGGGCCAAATGAACCACAGATCAGCACAGGCTAAAGGGACCATAAGAGGCTATCTAATTCAACCTTTTGCAGGAAAAGCAGCCTGGATGAGATTATTGAGCATCACTGTCCAGCTGTGTCTTGAAAACCTCCTGTGATGGGGACTCTACTGCATATCCATGCAGAAGTTGTTCCAGTGAATCATTCATCATTATAAAATCACACTCATTGTAAATCATTTTCCTTGAATCATTCTCATTGTACAAACAATTCTTTCTTACATAGAGCGGAAATCTCCCTCACTACAACTTGTATCCACTGCCTCTAGAGAAAAGGAGGGTCTCAATACTATCTGTAGTCATGCCTTTAAGTTTTGGAAAACTGTGTTGAGGTTCCTCCTGAAAAAGACCCTAACTTTTGGCTAACTTTTGGACTGAAAAGACCTAACTTTTACAGTCTGTCTTCAAATGTCAAGTTCTCCCCATCCTTGACCACCTTTATGGCACTCCTTTGACCCATCTTCAGTCCGTCCACATCTGTTTTGGAACTGTGTGGGCCAGAACTGGACACACTACTCCATGTGTGGTCTGAAAAGCGCTGGTGAAGTGGGGTGGTCACACCTCTCTCTGTTCACAGTGCCCTGTGGATGCATCTCAGGATCCACTTTGCCTCAGTAGTTGCAGCAGTGCACTGCTGACCTGGTGTCTGTGTGCTGTCTGCTGGGAGCCCTGGGCTCCTCTTGGCAAGGCTGTTCCACAGCTCATGGCTCCTAGCCTGGCTGGGCTCCGGTTTTGTGCTCCCAGGTGCAGGATTCTGCACTTCCTTGGTTGAACTTCACACAGTTCTTGTAGCCCAGTCTTCCAGCCTGTTCATATCTCTGAAAGGTGGCTTTCCCTGCTGACGAGTTCCCCTCAACACCCAGTTTAGTGACACAGCAAACGTGGTGAGGGTGCTTTTGGTCCCATCCAGATCATTCATGGAGATGTTACAACACGGAGCCCAGTACTGATCCCTGGGGGGCCCCACTTGGGACAGGCTGCCAGCCTCAGTGAAACACGTTGCTCACCTATGAGGTGATTCCTGCCCATTTCACAGATCACCGCCATCCAGTCTATATTTGACATTTGTCTAGCTGTGGGACACATGATACATGTCAAATGCTTTACTGAAGTGCAGGCAAGCAACAGCACTGCTTTCTCCATATTGACTGAATATGGTAATTTGTTTTAGAAAGGTGATCAGGTTAGCCTGGCATGATTCGTCTGTGATAAATCTGTGCTGAATTTTCCCAGTCACTTGCTTCATTTAATTGGTAATAGTTTCTATGACGCTTGTTCTGCCACTTTTCTAGGGACTGCAATAAGGATACTAAGTCATCTTTTGGGCCATTCTTACCGACAGGTATGAGATCTGCTGTCTTCCAGTCATCAGGGATACCCCCTGATCATTATGAATTTTCAAAAATAATAGGACAGTGGTCCTGCAACACTACCAGCCACTTCTGCTGACACCCTGGGGTATATTCCCTCCTGGGCCTTGCATTTATGTGGGTTGAGCCACTACTGGTGGGTCAACACGTGTGTTGTAGCTGCTTGATCCTGGGAGCTACAGTCTGGCTCCAGCCACTCCACTGAACAAGGAGGAAAGAAGGTACTGAGAACCTCTGTCTTGCCAGCATTATCTGTAACTTTGTTCTCTGCTTGGTCTAGTAACGGGCCTGTGTTTTCCCTGGGCTTCTGCTTAACTGCTGCCTTAGTTTGCAATGCAAGATGTAACCAAAAGTATGTATTCTATCACCATCTGTTAAAACCAGGTGGTGCAGTGTTCTTTATCTCTTCCATGACTCATCCCTGATAACTCCCTCGAGAAGGGGTGGGAGTGGATATCTTCTGTTAATGGGCCATCAAACCTCACTGCACGACTGATAAAATTAGGTCATCCCAATGTGAGATGCTCCACCCAGGGGGAGGAACCAAGCATTCTACATCTAATTGGCCACTGGTACGTGCTGCTGTTTTGTGTCAGTGGACGCAGGACGGACAACAACTCCTCGAAGTGTGCTGGACTATTAAATTAGTAGCTATTAACTGCGTACTATACACACTCAAGCGTTGCTGACTAAGAAGAAGGAAAAAAACATCAATGGTACAGCCTACAGGAAAAGGGAATATGACAAACATATTTCATCTTGATGTAAGATCAGAAACAAACATGTTTCATCTGAACACAAGAAATTTTTTTTTCTGGACAGATAATTACTAAAACAACTTCTGCAAGGATGTGGCAGAGTTCCCATTGCTGGAGGTTTTTAAGCTGCGGTGCAAAACAGTGTTAGATAATCTTATCTAGGCTCCCTTTTGCGCAAAAAATTGGACTGGATGATCTCCTGAGGCTCTGTCAATCTGAGCTGTTTTATGATTCTAAGACAGGATGGATTTCTTAAGACAAAGATCAAGTAACTCTAGGGATAAGAAAAATAAAGAATACAATAAATTTTATCTAGAAAGGAAACAACCATGTATCTGTGAAGCATTTATCAAAAACAAGAACAAACTTCCCTCTCTTGATTCTTCATTTCTGGTATAATTCTTGCCATGAGAGTCAAGGGGAAATATTACTAGAATAATGTCAGAATTGTTTATGATTTATGAATATAAACCTTTGGGAAAAAAGGCCAAGCTTAACATACCTGTCCCCTGCATTTATACCAACAATTTCAGAACAGCCTAAAAAAATTAGACACAAAAAACTTCACTCAACTGGAACTTGAATTGGGTGCCTACTGCCTTTATATCTGTGGAATGTGAACTATGGGTACCAAGAGAACATTTGAAACACAAGTGATATGAAGACAACAAAATACAGACTTGACTTTATGTTTCAGCAGTCAGATAAATTGCTTACTAGGAATTGAAACAGCAAAGAAAAGATAGATTTTTAATCAGCTGTCACAATTGGACAGCCCTTAAAATCAGAAGAGGGGCCCATTGATATATTTCACACTGAGCTCTATTGGCTTAAAAATCAGTGGCATAAACACAGAACTTTCCAACTTGAGAAATTTTAATTTCTATATTGCGAAGTATTCTACATGAGGATGAAAGATTTTGTTATTGCTGTTGGTTTGGGTTTTGGTTTTTTTCCCTCCAATAGAAAACAACAGAAAAGATCTCCTACCATTAGAGAAAAATGAAAAGGTGTTTTGGCATACTTCATTATTAATTCAATAGTTAATATGCATATAAATTCTTTAGCGACTTGCTTTGGCAAATCATACCTATGCAAACTTATGCATTTTTCATACAAAAAAATACCTCAATAAACCTCTGAATTGAAGTTGAGCAGGTATTTTAGTCACTTACTGAGCCTGAGTCAAAGCAATTACAAGCAAAAAAGTCCATTAGAAACAGTTTGACAACTTACTAAATAGACATCCAAAACTGAAGCATTATCATTTTCCATTTCCAATGTGCTCTGTTCTGAAGTCAAATAGATAGCACTGTCTCCCAAAGTGAATGTTGAGCTTGAAGGTAACCCCTTACTGCAAAGAGAAGGGAGAACACAGTCAACCAAAAGCCCAAGTTACAAAGCTTAGTCATAACTGAAAATTTAAAAGTAAGTTTCCCTATTAAACATAAAAATCTTCAAAATACTTGGAAAAAAGGAATGAAATAAATAAATATAGATAGATTGGCAATGGCTAAATAACTGGAAGCTCATATTTTACTAACTGTACAATTTATTTTTGCATTTACTAAAATTTTACCAGAAAATAATGCTATTCCTGAATTTCAATATTTATTTAATGAATGAAACTATGTCACAGTAAATGTCACATAATTTCATTAATCTCAAAATGCATTACTTCCACATTACAAGTGGTGTAAATTTTGGCAGCGTTTTGTAATTTAAAATAGTAAGCAATTAAGCACATTGTAACATTAGTAACATTGGACTTTTCCATGCAGACACAGTTCACTAGCAGCCATAAGTTCAGAAGGAAAAGTGGGAGAGCAATAGTGTATTGTAATTAGTAATCACACCTATGCAAGGAAGTGATTTATTCAGAGCAGGCGCACTCTATTACTTTATTCATTGATTGATTTTTTTGTTCTCTGCCTTACAGAAATAATGTGAAACTGCAAATGCACCTCCACAGAAATCTCATTTTGTAATGCACTTGGTCAACAAAGCTGAAACTCTCAAAGGTCTTTTAATGGAGTTATATGTCCCTTATCGCATATCTTACTAGCTGCCAGAAATTAGGCTCCAGGCTGCTTTGAAAACTCAACTGTCAGTTGTGCAGGGACATATTTTAGAAGTTCTTACCTGTTTACAGACAAGGTGAAAAGCAAAAATTCTGAATTATAACTTGGTAGGGAAACTTGGTTACAGCCATCAGTCCAGATATGACAAATTTCCCTCTCCTTTTGTACTATTTTAAGTATATTTCAGATGGGATAGAACTTCTGAAAGGGTAAAACTAGCATGCACAATTCAACATGCAGAAACTAGCATGTAAAGTTGAGATTCAAATGCTCAACAAAATAATGAATCAATGTCATACTGGAACAGCGCTTTAGATTCACCACATTACAATGTTCCTTTTATCATATAATGCACTTGACATTTTTTAAAAAGCAAGACTTTATCTTGTACTAGGATGACCCAGGTCCCATTGACTTAGCATTATTGTCATATGTGTAACTTGAATTCTATTGAGTAGTGTAAGAGAGTAAAAACAAAAATCTTGTAATTAATCTCTTAACAGCAATACACATGCCACCAGCAGTTGGTAACTGAAGTTCAAATTTGTTCAATAGCATCATCATAGCTGCATTTATTGCCAATTTCAATGCAGTCTGATTTTAATGAGACTGATACGGCAAAGCCATACTGGGGATGGCACAGGAGAGAACAAGTGAAATCCCCACATACACAGTGTTTCAGAAAGAGTAATTCAGAGGAACAGTGTTTTAATAGAGTTTCTACAGTGCACTGAGTTCTCATCCTTAATTCTTAGGTTGAATAAGAAAAGCCAAGCAAAAAAACCCCAAAAAACAAAACAAAAACAAACAAACAAAAAACCAAAAAACCCCAAACACTTTTACAGGTACTTTCTCTCATTCAGTAAATGACCAGCCATAAGGAGCTTGCTCAACTTTGCTGTTGCCCTCCTCTGGCTAATACATTCTATTTGATCTTGGTTCTTAATTAAGAAAGAAAAAAAGAAGCAAAAATAATTCCATCATTAGAGAACTGGGAAAGCTTTGTTTAAGCCACAATTACATGTTGTTTCAATCATAGTCAAATTTTCTTTCACATGGGGATACCCCTAGTGTCTCAGTGCATCTCTTCATAGCGTTTGAGCATTCAAGCCTTTTTCTTCCACCCAACTGCTTATTTTCATGAAGCATGTGTGAATTCAGTCCACTTTGAATCATATTCAGACAAAGTTGTCTAAGCTTCAGAAGCTAACAGTAGTGTGTGGATAGACAGAACACTTAAATTTAACACACAAAAGTTTGTTTATGTAGAACACCAACTGGCAAAAGGTGTGCTTAATATTCCTTGCAACAGAAATACCTATAAATCCCTGTCACTGGAAAAAAATGGCAGAACAGCATTTCAAAGTCTGGATGCTTCAGGAAGCTTGACTGTGTAAGAGAACAAACCCACAATGCCTCAAAGCCTTCCAAAATTCGAAGTGGTCTCCACCAAGAAACAGCCACACAAAGGTAAGACAAAAAATTGAAAAATATACAGATAAGAAGAAAAAAGAAGAAGGCAGAAGTCCAGACAACATATACGTCCTCCAGAAATGAGGCACAGAAGGCATAAAGAGAAAGAAGAATTAGATTTCATATAGATTTTTTCCCTTAAGCTCAGGTGTATCAGAAGAATTCAGCAGCCCTCCTTATACAGGTCACAGTATCTTGGCATTGTTCTGAAGAGGGAGGTAAAGCACCCCTTTATGCATCATGGCATTTTGTTTGGGTTTGGGACTGGAGAGTCCCATGAGACCTGCTGAAAAATATATTGAAAAAATATTTTCTATATTCTTGGGATATTTAAACAAGAATTGTAAAACATCTACAGTTTGAAACATTTTAAAGTATTTTAAAGCAAGTTCCAAACATTTCCAGAAGCACCATTGACCTTCTTCAGCTCTTTGCAATTCTAAAAGCCATGTCAAGTGAGGCAAGAGTCATAGTGCTTAGGGCATTCAGATTTGTCATCTTAAATTTAATTCTTCAGTACTAAATAGGAAAACTTTTCCTGGAAGGGGAAAAAAATCTGTTATCACTTATAATTCCTAATATAATATGTAAGTATTACATTTCCTAAGACAAAACAAATAAATCCTTTCAAAGAAGTGGTTTTGGACTAATAATTACATTTCCTAGTGGAAAACAGACCCTTTAGGTACTAAAATATCTCTGCACCAAATTTGAACCTACTTGAGGAATGGAAAATATTTGAAAATTTTAATAGAAGCAATAAATTGTCAATTCTGTTCATTTCCTAAAGGAATACTTGAGATTACTTATGACAAAACCACTTGACTGAGAAACAGCTTCATGGAAAAGAAACCAGCTGTCTTCTGGCATACAAGAAGGCCTACATTTACTGAATAGCATGTGTCAATGATTGTCTTTTTTTTCTTTTTCCTTCTGTTTTTTGGTCCAGTCCTTTTTGTACTGAAAAATACAGCCATTTCCCCCTCTCCACGACTCTTTCATTTGTACTAATTCCTGTTCACACTGTCTGGATAGCACCTTGGGTTTCCTCTAGTTTTTCAACAACAGAGGAATAACTTGGTGAAAATAATCCGCTTATAGCCTGGAAAAATACTCCTAATAAGCTGTATTTTTATGACTGCTGCTAAGTCTCTCACTTTAATCACAAGTCCCTACCTCTCTGCACTATATACCAATTAGTTATGTTAGTTTTAACATGTACCAAGACAGCTTTACAAAAGCCCTCATCACAAGACACAGCCTCAAGAGCTGGCTCTGCCTCAGCAAGTCACCTCGGTCTGCTTAACCTCAGCAGCAGCAGTCTCTCCCTTTCTACCCACAGGTGCTGAGCACTCTCAAGGAGAGAGGGTGCTGATCACCTTTCTTATGTTATAAGCCATTTTCCTCTCCTTGGGGAAGTATTACATTGGATAACAGAAACAGAGGGTAATCCTGAAGAAAAAACCCAACGCAAACAGAAAATACGGTGTGTGCGTCAAGGTATCCAAAAGTATTATTACTCTCTTTTTAATGAGGAAAATAATACATTCTGTTTTCTAAGTGTATGAGCACATACTGCTCATTGGTAGGAGTCAAGGAGATGTACAAATATCACATTATTACTAAGCACATAGGACTCTTCTTCTTTATTACCTTAAACCAGAAATTTCTTACAGGTTACAAGCAAATTAATGTACTCTCTACTTTGTGCTATGTTACTTTGAAGAACAATTAAAAAGCCTGATGAAGAAGATGCCAAACTGCAATTCTAATAAATAACAAACCAGAATGTCATAGTCAACTACATATTTAAAGATTGAAAGCAGGCTCACATTTGTAAACAAATCTTTAATTCAGGCTTTGTTTCAAAGACTGCTCCAAGCTTTCTGTTTATCAGAGACAAATGTTAAATCCTGCATCACATAATTTTCTAATATTCAAAAGAAGAACTCTGGCAAGAAGAACTTCAGATCTGAATCTACAATTCAGTGTATCATTGTAGCATGGGTTTTTTTTGGTGGGTTTATTTCCCTGATAGCTTTTATTATGAGAGGACTGAAGTTCCTTCAGTGAACCACAAAAACATAAGTAAAACTTCAAATGTATATTTTTTTTAGTGTCAGGAAGAAGGAATGACCTCTCTGAACTGATGCCAAAAGAAGTGGGTACAAAACAGCAGATTCCCCGAATCTTATGGAAATTAGTTCAATACTGAGCATGCTTTGCAGCTTTCTTAACTCCTAGCCATGACAGGGAAGCAAATCCTCATGAATTGTACATACTGAGATTGTGACACACACCACTATTTAATGACAATTAAAAAGTGCCTCCAGACCCTAGCTGAAGAAGGTACACCTAGACCAGCAAAGATGGTAGTTGGTAAGCCCCCATGGCAGATCTCTTGGCTACAGTGTAGATGTTCTGGCAGAAGATACGGAGAGAACCACACATCTGTGAATGCTAGTACCAGGTCTGCTGTGTCAGAGAATGTGCCCTCTTGTAAAGATGAAGTCCATACCTGGACTGCAGACACTAACAATCTGATTTTTTAAGATACACATGCTAATCACATAGCTGGCAACTTGTCCTACATTAGAGATTATTTCATTGACTGCATCACTACTGGAAAGTAAGTGAGTCTAGATGTGCAATCATAGTAGACCTGCTATTTTGTAGTATGTTTACAGTACAATATAATACTCATAGGTTTTCTTTACATTTAATTTTTTTATTTATTAAAATTTTTAATTTTTTTTAAAATTTTAACTTTTTAGAAACTAAAGAATATTTGAAATGCTTTAGATCTGAACTCTTTATTCAAACAACTTCACCATTTGCTTTTCCTGACTGATGCTGACACAAAGCAGTTCTGTAGTTTTATTTGATACTTAAAGTACTTTATAACTTTATTTCTGTCAAAGAAAAAAACTTTGTGAAAGATCATGAATATTGAAGTCCTACAGATAACTTGACACAAGTTGAAGTGAATGAGCTCTTTTTCTACTAATGCTTATTCATCAGTAGTTTTATTTCCTAAAGCTTGTGCAGAAACATTTTTGTTCTGCAATAAAAGCTTCATCTTCATTACACCCCAAAACATGCTTCATTCAATTTTTTATAGCAAACGATCAGACATATGGAAGATGCCACATCAGTAAATTTATTTCAAGGTAATGGAAGCTGTAAATATCACTGTCATCAAGTAATGCTGCAAGTAATTTTACTTCTTAGGCATATACAGTTGTCAAATATTTAACAGGAGGTAAAAACCTACTGCCTCAAGATTGCTTTTAAAATAACTTGATTTTATGGGCAACATGCAGTTTACAGGAAAGAACTACATCTTGGCACATGAGTGCATTTGTCAAATTTATACATTGAGTAGTTCAGGACTCCAAATTTTTCCAAACAATATTCAAGATGCTTGAATGGTTACCCTTCTTGATGGAAGCAGGCAAAGAAATGGCTCAATACACAGTAAAGAGATCTGCAAGCAGGCAAGATGGCACAACACAGCACACTTCAGATTCACAAGGGAGCATACAGGCACATACAATCCCTCAGCAAGACTTTCTGGCTTAAGCATGGTATTGGACTGACACAACTGAAATATATTCAAACACAACTCAAATCACATTTAACCTAGCTCACTAGCATCTGCACAACTTTTCTTAAGACATTCCTGACACTTCCTGGATTAAAATCAGACAGGATCTAAGCACACCTGTGGATGAAGTTTCACAGAAATTTACTTCAGAAAATGGTTGTTATGGAAGAATTTAAAGCAGACCATTCAGTGTACATTCACTGTACATTCAGAATAAAGAACAATTTTTCCTTTTCCTAGCACATCACCATTTTCTACAGCTGTCTCAGTCTACAGCCAAATTACAAGAAGTACTTCCTACCCTGACCTTAATGTAGTTTGGTTTATGGTACAGACTAAGGCCCAAGCAAAGTTTACATATCCAATTTAGTTTTGGAACAGGAAGAGAAATTCATATAACATTTTCCACCATGTTTATGCTTTCTCTTTCATGATCCCCAATTACAATATGTACAATTACAAACTATTCTTTACCTGCTAGAATAGAGTGTAGGTTGATCACGTTGACAGTGATCATCTGCATTCAAGGAAGAAGAAGAAAGTGTGGTTGCCAAGGAAGCTGCTTCAAACAGAGATTGAGTGCTTGGCACTAGATCCGGTCGGTGGTGCGAACCTAGTACTGCATATGCAGAAAAAAAGAACAATGTTAACAAACTTAAATTTAGCCCAAGAATCTTCACATAGGTATATCGAGTCCCATAGTGCCCTCATAAGTTTCTTGAAGTTTCCTAATGTTTGAATTGATGAGATGGTATTATTCATATGCCCATACCCACACTCTTTCATATTACAGAATGTATTTCAGCTGCTAACAAGTACATTCAGCAGAATACAGAGTAACTCCAAAGTCAAATATTAAACAGAGGTATGAGTTATGAATTCTTCTCAATCTGAGGACTATACTCATGCTACCAGGGCTCATTTATCAGACTGGATTAGGTAATTTGTTCTGCTTTCATCATGGCTGCAGGCAAGTTCTGAAAGGGGCAAAGTTGTATCTCTTCAAAAAAACTCTGGGAACAATGAACTGAGCTTCAAAACACTTCATGTGACGTGTGTTTAGAGATCAGTGAAAAGGATAGCAGTGGCTCTGGCCTTAATTTTCTACCTGGGCTGAATACTTTTTTCAGGATGTTCTGAAATCTGAAAGTTTAACATCATATTACAAACTTTGATTCTGACTTTGCCTTGCTCCTGGAGGTCCATTTTGACAAATATTACTAACTACTCTCTCCAGAAGAACAACCTGACTGATTTTGAGAGTTCAGCCATACTAGTAGTGTTCTAGTTACAGGACTTCTAGAGTTTATACAAAAATTTTAATAACATAATTTAGGTTGTTCATTTGAAAGACCGTACCTTCTTCATCAAGGCTGGCATAACTTTGTCCTTCAGCAAGAATGCCATGCTTTTCATCCTTCCACTCCTGGCTAACTGCACACACTATTTCTTGTGATGCTGCCTTTAGGGCTGTGATGGAATTACACCGTTTCTTTGAAGGTGAAGTCTTTAAAGCTGCATTACCAAATGAACATAGATGTTGAATGATGTCATCTTATCTCCCTACACATCTTTAACAGCAAACGAAAAAGTAAGCCAAATAGAAAATATGGGTTCTGAACACAGATGAAGAACATATCCAGAAACCTACTTTACAAACATTACATTAAAACTAGAGTGAAAGGTATTGTTATTTCATCTGCAAGAGAAGTACTTTTGTCTTTTTCAGTTTCTTACTGCTTATTATAGGACAATAAGTCAAGTCACTGGCACCAATGATTTAAAAAGCTCCTATGGAGTACCAACCCATGTAATCAGAGACAGAATGATACAGGAAAAAAACCCAGAAAATACAAAAATGGAAAAGACATTTGGAGTATTCTGAGAGGTTATGATCTTTTTTTTGAGCTGTTAACTACGTCTATGTAATGATACTGAAGAATTTCCACTTCAGACTCATCTGTCAAACATTTCTTTTTGGGTAAAATAAACACTTCCACAGTCTTGATGGCCTACACACTCAGGTATTAGCACCTCTTTTATACGTCTCAGCAGAGCCTGCATATTTAAAAAGTATTTTGAATCAAACTCTACAACTGATCACTGCCCCTACTACTGAACTACGACCCCCATCTGTAGTTTTTCTCCAAAAGGATACCAGCTATTTAATTTCGTGATTTTCAGCTGCTGGCTGCTGATCTCGATGCACTGGCTGCAAATGCATACTTCAGATGCACTATAACACTTCATTGCTTTACTATTGCTTTACTACAAAGTTCAAATTAAACACATTAAGTCACTTGGCTGAAGACTGAAGGAAAGAATCAGCTACATAGTTCCAGGGTATTTTTAAAAAAGAACACAGAAGACAGTTGCTGAGCTAGTCTCTGCCCAAGGCTAAATCCAGTTATTAAGTTTTTGTTGTTAATTATGCATGGTTGTTCTGTGCAGTAGGGGAAAAAAACAGATTCAGAGCAGGGCTAAAGTGTTTAAACTGAAATGTCTGACTCAAAGTTTAGATATAATATTCCTGAAGGCAGGAAGACTCCCAATTATTTTTGAAAGAATAATAATGCATTTGAACCATTAATCTGTACAAAAGTGCATTAAGAGCCCCGTATACAGAGGAAATCAATAAGAGTAGGATACTTAGACAGGTTAATTGCCAGGAAAAATGAGACAGATTAATTAAGATCAGAGAGAAAATTAGGCATGATATACTTTAATTGTACGTTGTAGGCTTCAAATACAGAACAGGTTGTGTCTTGTCCTGGAACAAATCTAGCAGTCAAAATTAGAAAGAATTGGGGGAAAAAAGACACAGATGTTGAGGCAAGATGTATGGTATTTATTTTGTCAAACAGGAGTGTCTAGTAGTAAGGAGCAGACACTCTTTATTCTTTATCAATGCAGATGAGTTACTTTGAGTATTGTCTCAGACAGCAGAAGTCCCACCAGTTCTTTGGCAAAATTATTCTAAGATTTAAAGAGAACTGGGTCTCAGGAGGCTCCTTTCTCCTTTAAGCTGAATTTTTTTTCACATTTTGTCACATTTTGTCAGTTGCTTCTATTTTCTTATTAACCAATCTTTTCCAAAGGACTTAACTTTGAACACTTTAAGTTGTTAATTTATTCTAGTATTTGTAGTCATTTTTAGTTTAAAAATCTTATTTACTTAAATCTTATTTAGTTCTAGCATTTGTTTGTATTTTGTTGTCTCTCTGTCCACACAGAATTGTTTCTCAATCCAGATAACTAATGAAAATGTTAGAGACCAGCATAACACTGGTCAGAAAGTATTTGCAAAACACCTTCTAACAGTTTAAGACAATGCCATATGCTCAGCACTCCTCCTGTAGTATTTGAGCCGAGTGACCATTCCACATTTTGACACTCAAACTCCAAAGCAAATACACTTCCATGAGCAGGATTATGAAACTGCTAACTCAGATCCATTTTAAAGTACAATTTCCTCTACAAACTAGAAAATTCTAGCCCATCAGTTAATACTTATTTGTCAAGAACACTGCTTCATAAAAAAACCCTCAACTCAGAAAACACTCTCTCCTACAGCGTAATCAAACCCAGCCATTCTCTTACTAGGAGAAAAAAAAAAAAAAAAAAAGGTGCAATTTCAGCATCACCTCCATGGGTTTAAAAAATAATCTGGTAGTAAAGCAGCAAGTTAGTATGTGGGCACACTATTCAAAACACCTAATCTGAATGTTTTACTGTAAGGTTTTATACCACTTGTGATAATTGTTGGAAAAAAAAAATCTCATTGCTCACAATAATCCAAACAGCTTTTCCCCAAAGAACTGCCTGGACCTCATCAAATCTCAAGCATTCATCTTTGCTTTGCCAGTATATTTGTTAGAGACTTTCTTACTGCACACACATAGAGCATATCTCAGCACTGTCAAAGAATGGCATGTGTTGGAAGCAATATGAAAAATGACCTAGCTCCAAACCCTGCTGAGCCCAGTGACACCTGCCACTAGAGCAGGTTGCTCAGATCCCCACCAAATTGGTCTTGAACACTCCCAGGATGGAACATCTACCATTTCTCTGGGCAACCTGTTCCAGTGCCTAATCACCCTCACTTGTAAAGAGCTTCTTCCTAACATCTAACCTAAATCTACCCTTCTTCAGCTTAAAGCCATTCCCTCTTGTCCTGTCATCATTTACCCTTTTAAAAAGTCCATCTCCAGCCTTCTTTTAAGTCCCCTTTAGGTACTGGAAGGTTGCTACAGGATTTCCCCATAGACTTCTCTTCTTTAGGATGAACATCCCCAACTTGCCTAGTTTGACTTCATAGGAGAGGGGCTCCATCCCTCTAGTTGTTGACCCTCCTCTGGACTGTCTCCAACAGTTCCATGTCCTTCCTGTGCTGTGACCCCAGAGCTGATGCAGCCCTGCAGGAGGGGTCTCAGCAGAGCAGAGGGGCAGAATCCCCTCCCTGGCCCTGCTGCCCACCCTGCTTTGGATGCAGCCCAGGATACATTTGGCTTTCTGGGCTGGGAGTGCCCATGGCTGGGTCATGTCCAGCCTCTCATCCCCCAGCACCCCCAAGTCCTTCTCCCCAGGGCTGCTCTCCATCTGTTCATCCCTCAGCCTGTGCTAGTATCTGGGGTTGCCCCAACAGAGATGTAACACTTTGCACTTGACTTTGTTGAACCTGGTCAGGTTCCCATGGGTCCACTTCTCAAGCTTGTCCAGGTCTCTTTTGTCCCCCATCACCATCCTTCTCTGCACTTGCAATAGTTCAGATTGAATTTCCTTTCACTATCATGGTCAATTTATAGAGAAATTATCCATCAATTCATTAATATTTATAACACTCACAAAAAGTTTTATTTTCCTGAAAAGCTGCCATAACATATCATGCATACAGGGAATCACTACTTGGGATTAATTCCAATTTTCTCTTTTTCTTTTAAAGATTCCTTCATTTTCCTTAAAATATCTTAATTGTTTAAGTATAATTAGTCTCAGCCTTTTCCTTTCATCTTTCTAGCCTGTTCTTTTTCTTATGTAGAATTTCACAAAATACTTATCATGTACGTTTCTGCCTTCTTGTTTAAGTATCAGTTTTCCCTCTTCTTCATATGCCTTTACACATAATCGTGTTTGTTGTTCTGATCTGCCAGGCCTTTAACACTGGTTTTCATGGAGAGGCTCAGAGTTCACAGGCTCGAATATCTTCAGAAAAATGGTATCATCTTTAGACAACATGCAGAGCAACAAAGGCCAGTATGACTTTCTACCAGTGGTAGAAAAGGTAGTGAAAATTAAAGATCTAAACTTTTGATGGAAAAGCCTGCATGAAGGTGTCTCTAAAGTTGTTGTTGTTGTGGTTTTTTTTGGTTGTTTTTTTTTTTTTTTTTTTTTTTTTAATTAGTAAGACACTAAATTAATTTCCCTGATTTGAGTCAGTTTTGCCTAGGATAGTAATTGGTGACTATGTCACTGTCAGGGACATAGTGTTTCCCTGTCCTTATTTGAACCCACCCACCTTTTGTTATAACTTTTCCTTCCTCTAGTTGAAGAGGGGGAGTGATAGAGTGTCTAGGTCACCTGAAGCCCACTTTAGACAGGCCTGATGTGACAAAAATACATAGTACATAATTCTCTCTAATTTTACTAATGGAGTAAAATCCCACTTGTCAGAAATTTAGTTTCTTGACTGGAGCTAAAAAAGTGCTATATGATGTTGAAGAAAGGCTTGTTTTATTGCCAAGACAGGAGCATTATAAGGTTATGATTATAAAAATATCTAAAAGAGTAGAAGTCATTACTCTCTTACCTTGAACTTTTTTGAAAACTCTTGCATTCATAAACTTTAAAAATCTGTCTGCATAAAAACTTGGTCGGTGAACTGAAACAGTATCCTACAAGATTAAAAAAGATCTCAGTCACATTTTCCACAAGTAAGGTGTCAAGGAGAAGCTGGACACCTCAGGAGAACTATATTATGCATTTCAGGCATAGTAAAAAATAGTGAATCATTACCATTTATGAGTTATGAATTATACAGCTATATTCTGCAAAATCTTCCAAGCATTTGAAATTTTTTTTTTCAATTTATGTACATTTTTCAGTTATAGATTCATCAATGTTCTGCTAGGTGGCTAGACTTGTGCAAGTTATAAGGGCAAACAAATATTATTAGTTGTGTTTTGAAAGCTCGACAAATAAAACCAGAGCATGTATTGGGAAGATTTCAGCAGGAGCTCAAACCACATGGTGAGGTTAGACTACAAATGTACCAGAACAAATTTTTTCCTGGTCAACATGAGCTGGTCCACCAGCTAAAATATCAGCAGTTTGAAAATTAATAAAATCTACTTACCCCATCATAAACAAGAGCTTTCCAAGAATGTTCGAGCTTCTTCATTAACCTAAGTATGTAAAAAACTAAATCAGAACTGCTTTATAAAGCTTCCACTTCTATAAGTAATTTCAGAATATTTTGCTCAGTGAAAATTCATTGAAAGTTGAAGTTCAACTTACCTGTATGACTGGAGAATATCAATAATACCCATAAATAAAAGCAGCTTTTCACCTTTATGGCTTTTTGCTGGAATACCTCCCATTCTAAGAGAAACAACATAGAATATTTTTAAGACATCTCTGATCACCAGTTACCAGCTGAACTGTACCCACTTGTAAACCCAAAGGAGTAGACAATATTCATGTCAGATGCCACAATGCAAAGTCAGTCAAATTTAAGTCACCTAGCATGCAATGGATTTTAAACAGAAAATTTGAAGTATCTGGGATTCAGTGGTAAATATACATGATGAAAAAAAATTAAGACACATTTTAGACAGAATTGGAAATATTCAGATGATCTGAAAAGTGGAAGAAAGTATACATCAGTTTATTGCCAAGGAAAATAAGTAACTTTAGATAAGGGAGAATTTTCTCACTTTAGTGATCATAGGTAACAAATCACAGAGAGTCTGCATGTTAATCAAAGTCTAAAAAGGTAGTTTCATATATTTTTCCCTAAAAATTATGCATTACTGTGCTTTTCCAAAATTTCTTTACAGACAGATAAGTGACAGATAAAGCAACAGTATCAAACTGAGAATCCTGAATGCATGGGCCTCCAGTTGGTCCCGGATCCATACTCAGCCATGAACAGTCATTCTAAAACCCTCTCTTCCTACTCCAACACCTAGAAAAATGGTCCATTTTAGAACCTCAGCATTGTTTTTTGCTCCACTAGCCATTATGTCGATATGAACGAGATAGTGCAAGGAGCAAGAAAGGAGTACACTTGACAGCATCTGAGTAGGACTATATTAGCTCACGTGGTGTGGGAGCCCAGCTAGTGCAACACCTCTGCCATTGTACAACAGCACTGGCCATCTTCTTTGTGAATGTGAGTGAGTGGTAAAAACCAAGTGAAATAAAGCTCTGTCTAATTATAATCCAGAGTTCTCAGTGTCTGGAAACTCTCTGTGAATGCTGAATAATTCTCATAATTAAATAATAAAAATTTGACATAATTATTATTATCAAATTATGAAAAATCATAATCCTCTCACTCGTTTGCTGTAGGTTTAAGCACAGATTTCTATATCATTAGTTGTATTTATCTACACAGCTCCCTTGAGAACCAGGAGAAAAGTAAATCGTTAACTTTAGATTAAATCCTCATCAAAATAAAGGATTGATTGTATGCAATGCTGAATGGTGATGATAATACTCTTATAGCACTTAATATATTATAAAGGAAACAACAGAATAATGATTGTTTATAAATTCAAATTTCTATTAAAGTTTTTGCTAGACAGAAAAATAGGAGAAAACATCAATTCTTAATCTCAGGAAATATAATATATGACTGCACTTTAGTGGTTGATGATATCATTCTATGTACATTGAGTATACTACTTCAAGATGAAAACAACCCCTCTAGGAATATCCATTTCAATATTAATTTATTGGTTTTGCTTTGGTCTCACCAGGCTGCTTTCAGTTAAAATTAGATTATAGCTGGGACTCTTGTAACAGTTGTCTGATAGCATCTCTTTTATAAAAGAATGCATGTGTGCATACGTAAGTCACTCTGAACTATCATGTATTTAAAGACTATCAATCTATTGACCAACATTCCAATTTCATGCTCTCTGGCAAATCTTGGTGGTGCAGCTTTTGGAAAAAAAAAAAAAAAAAAAAGAAGGCTCAATCTTTCAATTCCTGGAATGCAGTGTACTCATGAAAGTTTTGCCTGTTAATACTTTGAAAAGCAATGTTAAGAGCAGGTTACAGCACTTACGTGTTTGTTTTCTCTGTGGTGACGGAGTCTCCAGACTTCCCAGGGCCCTGTATAGACTCCATGGCTGTGGAATAAAGAACTTTCTGCCCTCCATGGCGTTTAGCATCTGATGCACTCTGGGAACACTCTCCTCTTTCCTTCATGTTACTGTTCAATATGTGGATCCCCAGAAGCAGACTGTAATCCATGATCTTAAAACTTTCTAGAACCTACCAAAGAAGGAATGACTACACTGAAAACACAAAAGAATTACACAGCAGCATTTCGCAAACCTGACTGAAAACAGGCTCTCAAGGCACAAGCTTCTCTTATTAGGAAGTGTGTGAAATTACAGTTACACAAAAAACTTTTACTATCCACAAGTGAAGTACTCTAATTAGCTGAATGCTCTTGTAACAAGTGAGAAAGATGCACAGCTGAAATGCAACCTGATGTTATTTTCTAGTCAAGGAAGATAATTCCAGGCAGCACCTTTTCCTTTATAACAAATAATCAATTAATGGTTCCATCATATACTTATGAACAACACATTTTAAAAATTATCTCTAATGCACATTCCAGACCTCCCCGAGCGTTTTTGCCTATCCTCCTCTCTTATCTCCCCTCCACCTTCTATTTGTAAGAGAGACCGTACTCTTGGAGAACTTTCAAATGGCAACAATAGTATTTGCTGCCACCCTCTTATTAGCATCTAATGGGACTGGAGTACAAAAATCATGCACTTCTCTACCAGGCTAAATAGAGCCTATCTAAACTCAAAAGACAGGTTTTACTTCTGAAGCACGACTTAAGCAACCGTCCTTCTCTTCTAGTTCTACCAACCATTTCTGTCTCTGGCAGCATGTCTTCTCACACACAAATAGTTTCATTTGTTTTTACTCAACTACACCATTATGAAGTCTGGCATGCTGTTATTGAAAGCATGAAAGCTCAAGCCAATACCCAAACATGAACTAAAGCAAGCTTTGATCACATCTAGTAAAATAACCAAACTGTTCACAGCAACAGTTTAATGACAGACAGCGACTGTGTTTAATGTCTTACACGACACTGCTAAGTGGAGGGAGAAACACCAGTAACAGCCAGGAGGGATATGCTGTGCCACTCACCTCTCCTTCACCTCATGCAGCTCAGCAGTGATTCATATGTTTTGGCACATAATGCCTGAAGATAATGGTGTAATTTTTGTCACAGAATCAAGAGGCAATAGTACATCTTTTTACATGAACAAGAAAAGAAGTGATTTTACAGAGATGAGAGTAGATTCTAGGTATGTAATTTTGACACAGATTATCCAAACATAAGTATTTTTGGTTAAGCAGAAACATCCCTTCTCTTAATGAAAAAAAAAGCAATTTCAGTACTTGCATAGGTTGAAAACTATGTGGCAGTAAAACAGTAATTTAGTATGGATCTGTATGTCTAATCATAAGGTTTTTATACCACTTACCCAAACTGTTGGAAAAATACTCATTGCTCAGATAACCAGAGCAGTGATGAAACAAAGCATAAACATAGAATGGCACAAAATCGGATCTGATTTTCAGACTCAAAGAATGACTTTAAACACCATGGGTTTGCTCTTGTGCAGAGGGATCCTACTCAGTGACGCCTTAGTTCAAATGGAACCAGAAAAAGGCTGCTAATGTATGGCCTTCGTAGTCCACAGCATCTTCTGATGACAGAACTCACAAAGGATTTTATACACAACAAAAGCTGTATTCTAACCACAAGATTCTGGAATTTCATTGTGCATTGTGTGGACATGTTGGTGGTTTGCAATCATAAATTGCAAAAATAGCATAGGTAACAGGTACAAAGGCACTCGGTGCCAAAAAGGTCTAAAATTTTATTTACTGCTTACTTATTGCTATCCTTTACTCAGACTTTCTCAGAAAGAAATTACAACATCATGTATTCATTAAAAATATGTAGTCAATGAATGTTTGCCATAAAATGCTGAAACTAAATTCAGGATAGGCTGAAAAAGAACACCTTAATAATACAGTAAGCAACACTGTTCATGCAAAACCAGAACAGGAGCTAGTCAGGCTTGGGAAAAGCATTGCCACATTTATTTTGCAGTTATAAATTACTGCTGACAGTTCTATCTTCAACATGTTCTTTACTGCATTTTGAAATAGGTCACACTAGACACGTGATTCTACTGCACTAGTTACATAACCTACGTCTATGATTGGATGTAGTCTCATGGGAGGCTGTGCTGTAGTGTGCTACTCCTTCTTCCACAGGGACCTCTTATGTGATAAAATTAATCCTTCTGACTACATCAATTCATCACTGCCACTTAAACCCATACTACTTGTACAGTACAACAGACCACGCCTTGACAATTTATGATTTTGGAGCAGGATTACCGAAAAACATCATAAAACCAAATTTCATTATTACAGCTTGTTAACAGACTGAAACACCTTAATCCAATAATTAATTAAGTTAATCCAATGGATTAACTGCAGTACAAATTCTTATAAACAGCACACAGCATAAGAATCCTTGTCCCCCAGACACTCTGTTCATGGCCCTACTCAGAGGTGGCATTACACTGTCCACAAAGTGTCTTCAGGATATCATGACGTGATCTGGCCCTGTCTGCCTACAGCTTTGATGTACAGTTCTGATTACTTCCCCTTAGAAACGTGAAAACCAAACCAACCACTCCTTATGCAAATTAACCTTTGTGACCATATCTAAGCATGTTTCACTCCCCATTTGTTTCTAATCAAACTTCTGGCAAGAAATAACTAACCAGAAAAATAAGGAAGAATCTCATAAATCAGCACTCAACAAAACTTTGTGTCAAACTCCTCAGTCTGTATTAAGACAGTAAATCAGTTGGATTTACAGCTGAATATATCTGAGGTGTTCTCACATATATATCTTCATTAATATTTAAAATACCAAATCGTGACAATTTAAAAATATGTAACATTTTGCACACACAGTTGTACAAAATAATCTGTTTCAACAAGGACAAGTTACAAAATGCAGAACATCAAGACATTTCTGTTCCTGTGCTGAGGTTTGTTTGCAGATACTTTTGATGATTTTAGGACTGCTTTTGAGATGCAGCAGCAAGTTTTTGCTCAAAGGCACCAAAATGATACCCTAATCTAACAAAACCCCCCCACTAAAATAAATTACAATATTACATGGCTATATTCATAGCAAAAGGAGAAAGCCCTGCAAAACACCTGGCTCTATCCATGCGAGATCACTAGAAATCAACATAAGCTCCTAGAAAAACACTGCTTATGTAGGTAAAGGGAGGAAAACCCCAATCTTTGCTCATGTACTGACATTCTGACATGTACCTTGCTAGCAAAATGGCACTGTGGGGTTTCAGCAAGAATGGTCCTAATCATGCTGTGTACTAACAAGTGGTATATTTGTTAATGACAAGTAAACCTTCTGTTCATTAACTTAACATTAAATTGTTCATCTTGGTAATATTTATGTGTTAATTCACTAACTACACAGATTCTGTCAACACAGTGTTGTCACTTGGTCACCAAGTCCTGTGGTCAAGGCTGACTTCAGCTGCTCTGAAAACTTTCAGATGGCAAGTGACACTCACCCCTTGCAGCCTTAAGCACTATTTTGTTTCGTACCACATAAAAACCCACAGTAAAATGGCATCACAAAATATGTTGTTTCAGAACATGAAAATTTAACTCTCTGAATCACATTTTCTTTTCTCAGAGCTAATCAGATGTTAAACTATTCTGTGAATCATCTTAGACATGGTTACGCTCCACTATCTCAGCCAGTGACTAACGGAGCAAAACAAGTATTTCTGCCATGAAATGTAATTTATATTTTATATGCAGCCAGCCCAAACTACACACTGTCTGACAGAGAAATCTGCATTTACATTTGCTATCTATGCAAAACAGCATGCAAAAAAGTTATCAGATCATTTTCATAAAAGGGTCAAGAAAAATACAACTCAAAAGAAAAAAATTAGAAGCTTATTTAATGAAAGTACTAAATGGATAACCATGCAAGAAAGTATTTCCTCTCCTACAAGCATTTTCAAAAAGTGACATAGGAAATAACTCAGTAGAAAGAAGACTGATTTTACAATATATCAGTAATTACTATTCAACATAATGAAATTAATGAAATATATGAATATATATATGAATATATTTCATATATATAATATATGAAATAAACACAAATTAAAGGACTGTTGCACAAAATAAGCATGTCTTAGGAAAAAGTTCACAAATGTCAATGCCTAAAAATGGGTCTGGTTCAGAAAAAATTTCTCCCAAGAAAAGGAATCATCACATTCCCACCAAAGCACATGTGGAATCACTTCCCATTTCAACAGAATTCTCAAAATATATTATTAACTAACACTCCAAAACTAACAATCTGGATTCTGATTTTAAAAGTAGAAGTAATGAGAAATTGCAAATGTCAATTGATACTGTGGAAATGATAATATATAAAGATACAAGAGATCTACAGCATCATGCTATGGTCATTTCCCTCAAACTACCATTTCTGACAAAGAGGCCCTTCACCTAAGATTAGTATGTTCTCCATCTCCATGCCATATCATGCCATCTTTTATTTCTGTCCTATGCTGCAGTTTATTATTTCATTAAGTTATGCCAACACTACTGTTTGTAAGGATATGCTGTACAATGGGTCACTGAAGTTATTTGGCTTAAAGAATAGATCCTTTGAGGTAGAAAAAAGGCAAAAAACTGCAAAACACACACTACTAAGAGATTTGAAAAATTCTGTGGATAAATTTGGTCATACAAGGTCTGCATCACATTTGCTACAGCACAAAACAGATGTGCAATCATAAAACTTTTGTTGCAACTGGCTAAAACAGCAGTGATGAAAACAATACCCAAGTCTCAAACTTAGGAGATATGACCCTCTTTAAATTTCCTTGTCTTTACAGGTTTCTTCATTACTCACTTTCGAAATATAACTTCCTCAGAAAAGTCCAGTGTTCTTTGCCATAAAGGTAAAATGCACTCTCAAAAACCATTCATTTCTCAATAGTAAAAATATCTTCTAATTTTTTTGTTTTGTTCTTAAAAACTACATGACCACAATTTGATTAATTTTTACAGCTTCTCCAAAAAGACAAAGACAGGCTAGCTACAGAAAGTCTCAGCAATAGTCTGGAATTTGAAAGCTAGCTCAAATTTTCAATTGTGTACATTGTACATGATAAATTCATGAATGTTCTGTCTTTAGGAACATTGTAATATTACACTCCTTGGTTCAGTTAAGGTGCAAATACTGCAAAAGGAACTGTGAGCCAATTTTTCAGACCCTCTCTCCTCAAGTGTGAACAAAACAAGCAGGGGATGCAGGAGCTAAACAATGCTATCAATTTGTACTTGTTCCAGCATGGATAATCTGGAGACACCAGCGCTTTTTTTTTTTTTTTTTAAAACCAAAAAAAAAAAACCCATGAGGGACCACCACAAACAACTCAGCTCCACTCTGTAGCTGGGCAAGTCATGCATCTCCTCACCAGCACTGCCAGGAGCTGTGAAAGGCCAGAACTACTCCAGCAGTGGTCTATCATTGCAGAACTGGATTCCCTGGGGAAGAAGCTCTCTGCCAGTTGTCGAGATGGTCTGTGTTGGCTGAGCAGATGTATCAGGAGGCCAATTCAGCTAAGCAAGGAAACCACAGCACAGCCTGAGTGTGAACAGCCAGCATACAGGACAGGTGAGGACAGACAGGCCAAAAAGGAGGAATAGATAAACATTGTCTGGGCATCTAGGGATGGCAGCTATGATCAAGGAAGCCAAAGATCAGCTAGAGTTGAGACTAGCAAGGAATGTCAAGACACAGAGAAAAGCTGACCAAGGAAAACATGAGTCCATTGGTGAATAGGGCAGGAGATCACAGACCATAGCAGCAGTCACAGACCATAGCAGGTCCCCACCATCACTATCTTTCATTACCAGGAAATTCTATCAGACCTCTGATCTTAGCGATGGATCTTAAGGAGGAGAGGGGCTAGCAGACAGGGATGTTTATAATTAAGAAGTAGGAGAAAAGTCCATTGCTTCCTGATTCTGATTGCAAATATGAGCAATGGACACACAATTCAAATTTAAGCAACACAGAAGAGAATTTCTTAGTCCCGAAATGGGACTGGAAAGATCAAAAATTTCCTTTCTTAAATGAATTCTTAATTTAAAGTGCCTACACTAACTTCTTCACTTTGAAGTAAGAGCAAAAAGAGACGACAAGTTTTCAAGTCCTTAAAAGCTGGTCAGTTATCACTATCATTATCAGCTGGTACTATCAGCAGTTATCACTATCACTATCACCCATCCAAATACCTCTTGGGAAGAAAAAAGCAGAGGCAACACTGATGTCCTTTTCACAAAATGGATGGAATATTTCTGGTCTTTTTAAAGGCAGAAATAAAAGGCAGGTAGTCAGATCCAACCGTATTAGCTTAGCAAATTCAGCGATATGAAAGATAACAGTGTCTGCCCCCTCTGTTTTATAACACAAAGACTTGTTTGAATAGAAAAAAGAGGCAGTTAATTTTTTATATACATATAACTTTCAGTGTGCTTATATGCATATATCTACAGATACACACAGACATATACTTTATTGTGTATATGTGTATTTATGTAAACACACTGATTACTATAGGATAATTTTCTTCTTTACTTTTAATACTTTTAAAAATTAGCTGAGGCTTTAAGAACTCTAGTCTAACTTTAGAGTTCTTAATTTAAGATATACATTGAAAAGGATTATATTAGCACTCAAATAACATGTAGCAGGAATTTTCCCAGACTTCTAAAGAATCATTAAGAGTTCCTTTATATGTAACAATTAATTGATTGATTCTTGTTTTTACTTTTCAGTCCAGTTCCATCTTTTAGATACCCTCTATTATTTCCAATACAATAGACTTCCCCAAGCTCTGGCTGGATAAGTAACCTTGAACAAGTGGGGGATACATAGAAAGGCATCCAGATCCCCAGATGTGACATACTGATGCATTCTCTGTCATCACACATGGTAGGAGCTCAGGAAATACTCACTGCAACAGGCTACAGAGAGAACACTGTGTCGTGTTAGATAAATGTCTCATGCTGAATACACAGCTGAACATTAGGTCACGCAGCTTTACAAGCCAATCACAAGGCATTGCACACTTCTGTGATAAACAAAAAATTCTATTCATGTGCAAAAACAATGCTTTCCATCTTGTACCACAGATGGCAGTGAACAACAAACTCTGATATTCAGGATGTCTCTTCTATGTAGTGAGTTCAGACTTTTGCTTTATTACTATGAAATTCTTACGATTTCCCTCAGACAAAGTAAATTTTTTTTCCCCCCAAAACCCCATGAATCCTGGAAAGTTCTGAGAGATCTGGAGTCTCTCTTTTCCTACTTTACATCTTCTTACCCATGTTACAGGAAAAATAAACCTATTTTACAGCAATTCTCTCTGTCTATAGTAGGAACTGATTCCATTCGCCAAGGTCCTCTCAAAGAGCAATGATAGGTATCCCTCTTCTGCCTTGAAAATATTTTGTGGACAGCTTTTGTGTGGGCTTTTCAGCTGAGGAAAAAATTGCCTCGCTCAAGAAGTAAGACTGCTGCCACTAGGCCTGCCTTGCCATTCCTAGGTAATCAAGAGACATATTCACAGCCGCTCTACATACAGTTTATCATACACAATAAAGTTCCACAGGGCTAATTATGCCCCAAGAAAAAAGTAATTAAAATCTCCAAATTAATGGAAATCATCATCACCATCAAATCTACTGGACTTCATTCATGTATTAATCTGTATTGCCACAGATGGATCAGTGTAATCCTGGATGTACATAGAAATAGAGGGTTAGCCTGGAACTTAGAGTTGTGCTAGATGATGAACTTAATGAATCAGCAATGTGCCCTAGTGGCCAGAATGTCCACCTGTATCCTGGGGTACACTCAGCACAGTACAGCTACCTGGTTTGAGAAAGGTGATTGTCCCACTGCACTCAGCATTGGAGCTGCCGCACATCAAGAAATGTGTGCAGTTTTTCCACAGTGTAAGAAGGATATAAAATATAAGAATGTGTCCAAAGGAAGGCAACAAAGATGGTGAAAGGACTACAGGGCATGATTTGTGGGGAGCAGAGAAGGATAAAAGGTTTGAGGGTGAGAGAAAGGGTAGTGCTGATCTCTGGTGCCTGGTGACAGGATGCAAGGGAACAGCTTAAAGCTGCATTGGGAAAGTTCATTGAGATGGTGGTTTAGCACTAGAACCAGTTCCACAGTGATGGAAGTGCTCATGGTCCCCAGTCTGTTGGTGTTCAAAAAATATATGGATATTCTATCTATGACTATGATCTCAGATCACAACAGCTTAACTAAAATACAGGCTTCATCAGTGCTTTGACAGCTATAGTTATCCCTCCTTAAATAGCATGCAAAACAAATGGTGGTTAAGTAATCTGTACTGAGTAAATTTAGAGCAGAGGTGATCACAGAAGTTTAAATATATACTCACTCGACAATCCCGCTGTAGTGTTTTCATTAGTGCACTGTGTGTTTCAGAATCAAAATACAACCCTTCATGCATATCTTGCAGGAAATCCAGGTCTTTGAATGTAGGGTTGGACTTCTCCCTCTCTTTTCTTGATGCTCTGCGTTTGTATGTGGAGCCTTTCAAGTCGTATGTGAAATGCATTTTCAAGGCTCGTGGTAAAACATTGTTCATGACAACAATTCTAATATTAATGCCTCCTGACTGAACGCAGTACAGCCCATAAAATTTGGGAAGAAGAGTCCTTGGATTCTGGTTCAGATTCTAAAAAAAAAAAAAAGAGTTATTTTTAAATAAGTCTATTTTCAATGAACTTCCATGCTTAAGAAAGGGTTTTCTTTAACTGCAAAATAACATTAACAAACATGAAGAAAATTATGAATGTTTTCTTATTCAGCACAATTTCTTCAACCAGTTGATTATCTTTGTGGGTTTCTATTTCAGAAAGCTAGCATAGGCAGTGCTTTTTTGCTAGGAACTTATAAAGGCCAAAAGCAGAGCAGTAACTACATTTATGCCAGGTTTCCCTTTCTCACAGAAGAGACTAGGTCAAACCTAAAAGCATTGCAAAGACTTAATTTTTTTTTTTCTGACCCGAACAACCTTTGCGTTTTACTTGCTGGAAGGAGTCTGAGTTAAATGTAGTGCTCATTATCTTGACTTGGATTCTGAAATACAGAATCCCTCTCTCCATGACGCTTTACACACTCGGGGTTAGTGCCAAATGACTAAGTTGTTTCCAAAGGTGTGTGAGGTCATAATAGAACCACAACTGACCATCAGAACAGAAAAGTGTGAAATAATCCAAATTCCACAACAGGCAAAATAAATTAGGTAAGAGAGGATAACAGAGGTGAGAGAGAAAATAATTCTTCTGAATACAACTGTTCTCAGTCTTCAGCACGAAAAAGAAAGAAGGGGAAAAACTACTTCGGGTCTTAGACGATTACTAAGTTACAACATACAACTATCAGAAGAAAGAAGTATCACAGAAATAATCACAGGGATTGAAGTTTTCTATTTTGGAAGCAATTGCATAGCAGTGAGAATAAAGTTCCCAGAAATAACACAAACTGGCCTTATATGTACTTGTAATAACTCAAACTTGTGCTGAGTGGATCATCATTAGGAACAACAAAACCTGCCACCATTGTCCTTACTGATGTGTCAATACACATGTTTTTTTTCTTATGCATACAGTGAATCCATATTACTTTAGTGCAATAATGACAACATTCCTTATTTTTAGTATAAGTGAGAGGGCAATTTTTCAAGTATTTACATCAGGAAACAAAGCAAGAAAACAAAGTCAGTCATAGGTCTAATAATACAAAGTCCCACATACCACCCAGAAGAATGTCTGTGTGTGTGTATGAGTGGCTTTTGTTATAAAAAAAAAAATTAAATTCTACTTACTTTTTAATCAATGGTTTTCCCTTCAGATGACACACAAAACCCAATACAATGGACTTAGAATTAGCACTCAAAAAGCTCATTTAAAAATTAAGTTTTGAACAAATTACATGGATAAAAATATCTTTTACATCATTGCTTTAATACATGAGAAATGGAAATCACAAGTAGTTGGAAACAAAAGGGAAACTGACCGGTCTAGTTTCTTTGTCCACTCTGAGTGAAATGCAGAGGGTAGACAAATACAAAATGGAGAAAAAAAAAACTGAATTAGAAATTTAGAAACCTTATTTTGTTACTAGCTTATTAGAAGCAAAGTTTGGCATCAAATTAGATTATGACATTCAGCTTCATCTTGAATGCTAAAAGAGCACCAATTCTTGTCTTAAATATATTCTTGGTTTCTATCTATTCTTTCTGTTGGGTGTGTAGGGCATGAAGTAGAAAAAATGTAAAAAATATTACAAAAAATACAGATTAACCTAGTGGAATATTTCAAGACAAATGAAACTGAATCTTCAGAAGTGACATGAAACAGGAGAAATAGAAGTAAAATAAAGTCTTCAATTACTTACCATATAATAACCTGGCAAGAGCTTCTGAAGAAACTCAGCTTCTTTGTGTTGAACTGTTTTGATGATGAATTCGTCACCACTAGTTACAAAAAATAAAGACCCACTGGCACCTGGGTTGGATAATTCAATTAAAGGTTCACTGCAGATTGAGTACTGGAAGAGACAAAAATTGCTTTTCACTGCCAATGCGTGCATTACCCAAACACAAGTTTAATATGAAGAACTGCAGGTTCAAGTAGTCACAAGAGAATCACATAGCAGCACTGCTGCTGCTGGCTGAGGTTTGGGAGGCCACTACCCAGGCCATGCTGCCCAACCATGGAGCAGCAGCTGGCAGCTGAGCATATAATCCTTCTTCATGTTCCAAAGCAACAGGTTCCTTTGGAGTGAAGCCAGTGGTTGATGTGGAAGGAGTTGATCTCCATGCTGTCAGCATAACAAATTCTGAGTCAAAAGCTTTGAGAAGACATTTTCACTGGACCTGTTTGCTTTTCACGTCCATTTTTTTAAAGAAAGGTACAAGATGGTAGAAAAGTAAACTGGGAGTAGAGGTTTCTCATTATAGGCAAATAGGCAAATCCTGTGCAACTGGGATTGAAACTATTGGACTGATAAACTTGGTATAGCTATAGCTACTAATTTTAGTATAGTTACTGATTTTTAAAATATTTTACTAGTTTTATGATTGAAAACCACTTGAAACAGAAAAAAACCCAATAGCAGTAAACAAGAAAAACTGGAATTTGAAGGACCATTACATTGCGTATTTAGACAGGCTTCCTTTTCCACAGGACACATTAAGAATTACAATCACACTAAGGAGGAAAAAGACACCAAAGACTATGCCTTATTAGTAGAACCATACTTTTACAGAGACTAATGTACATTTATTAACTGTCCACTATTCCAAACTTGATCCAAATTATATGGAGAGCTGACATTCAGCTCAAAAACATAGAAAAATCTATCTATATTAAACTTGAAAGCAGTGATACCAGAAAATCTAATAAACATGTTCTTTTATGAGCACTTGAACTAAAGAAGCATGTTTCCTATAGGGTCATGCTATTGCCTTAGTGCATATTCTTATCCTAGCTCCAGCTAAGGCTTATAATTTTTAAGAGAATTTTACATGATATATAAATATTTCTTCTCCCTGCTTATACTCAATTCCAATTAATAGAAAATACCTTTCTTTTTAATTCTATAGTTGCAATTTTCTACAGACAGAATGGCCATACCAATCTGTAACACTACAAACCTTTAGACCAAAACAGCAGTTGTACTGCAGCAATTGCATTTTTCTTGCCAAAATATTTAAATCTTAATGAGTAACTGTGACAGTCATAAACATTTGAATGCAATTATCCTAAACATTAAAGCTCAATAGAACAGTATAAAATAAGCACAAACATTGACCTACACTCTGCATTGGTAATCTTCCAGTAGTATGCATTTCTGTAAAAAAGTCCACCCACCAAATGCTGCTGTACAAAGGGCCCAGCTAGTTTTGACTGGACACCTCTAAAAGGCAGAGCAAAACCAAAAGGTAAGAAAATCCCCCAGAGCCTGACAAGTGAGTATTTATGATCAAGAAGTTTCCCTGCAAAATGACACCACTCCAAGAGGTTTACAGTGCTAATTTAATTCTAGCAGCTGTTCAAATGTATTTACACTTGTTATCCTGTCTGACTCCCACAGTGTGTTACTGCTCATCCTCCTTGGAAAAGGTGAAGCTTTAAATCTTGAGCTTTGTCACTTCAGATTAACAACTCAGATATGCTTGCTGTTATTTGTGCTCTTCTTATTTTACTTCACATGCCCTTCAGCAACAGCTGGACAATCATTTACTACTTACTACATACCACTTGTGTGTTTTCCTGTGCCAAGAGAAAAAAGAATCTGCAACAAATTGTCTTTACTAGTAACTTCCCTCAGGGAATAGTCTTTTTGTACTTAAAAGGACTGTCACAAATCCTATTCACAGCATGCAGTCTTTGTATAAACTCTAACTTCTGCTACTGCAAAAGCTTCCTTAGGTGGAAAAGAAGTTGCAGGTGATAATAACTTTGCTCTAGGAATCACAGTCCTTTTAGCAGCTGGCAACACAGCCCACATACTTCAGCTTTTACCCAGACCATAAAAAGAGAGAAGATAAATAGCACATTACATAATGACACGACTGTCACCAATGATGTCCTTGTCTCTAAACTGGAGAGGCATAGATTTGATGGATGGATGGATAACTCAGAGGATAAGGAATTGGTCATACTCTAAGAGTTGTGGTCAATGGAAGAAAGAAATTCTTCACTCTAAGGATGGTGAGGCGCTGGAATCTGTGGTCTAGAGAAGTTGTGGAAGCCCCATCTCTAGAAGTGTTCAATACCAGGCTGGATGGTGCTTTGAGCAACCTATGAAGGGAAAGATGTCCCTGCCCATGGCAGTGAAGTTGGAAATAAATCATGTTTGAGCCCTTTCCAATTGAAACCATTCTATGACTCTGATTTATAAAATTCACAAACAACTTTATTTCTTTGCTACTACCATTTATGATTCAAATTAATTATCTTTTTTCATATATAACTATGGTCATGAGGACTACTAACACAAAATCCACACATAGCACTAAAGAATTAAAATAAGACACCCACATTAAACTTAAATAAAACCAAAACCAGCTAAGTTTTGCTTTCAGGCTTATTGTTCATCTAGGAAGAAAAACCCATTATAGCACACTTGAACACAAAAGAAACTATTTAGTATTAATCAATATATTTATTAATATATTAATATTTCAGAACCATTCAATAAATTTTTCTGTTTTATTCACCCAAGCCCTTTCAAATTCTTTTGGTCTTAAAGAAGCTGCTATCAATAATAGAACAAAAGGATTTTAAAGCTCATTCAAAAAATTACATATAAACTTGCTAATTTGTAGCAGGACTCTGATTTCTTGGGTGACCCACCATGAAACAAACCGAACACTGGGCAAACATCTAGACGATGGACAAACATCTAGAAGACAATCCAGCTCAGCATTCACCCTACCCTTCCAAAAGCAGAACTACAGGAGAAATAAAACAGCGAACACTTGTTCCAGCAGTATACAAAGTCGTTCCACCACGTAAAGCCTGCTTTTACAATGTCAGCAAATTTGTAACTTTTTCTAGTGTAAACTGAACACTGTGAAAGAATAAATCTTCAATTTATAAATAAGAAAGAACAAAGGAGGCATTCTAAAATGCTTCATTTTTAGTCTGTCATCCATGTGCCTCAAAGCTAGACAGGAACATTTGCAGACTTCACTTTGTAATGATGTGTGTAAGTGACACAAATCACACAGAAGTACTTAATTAGAACTGAATCAATAAAAGTCACAAACTACTGATCATAACTTCTCTAGAAAAATTATCTGAATGACATGGATGTTGCTCTATCAATTAACAAAGCATGTATTTTATACAAATTGTCTCAAAGATAAAGAATTAAAATTTTTGCCACCACTAAAAATATTCACTAGTTATATACCCCTCCACACATAAAATTTCTTACTGATTTGGTCACCCTTTAAGAATCCCTTTCTGCCACAATGAAACTAGTATGCTTTATAATAATTTGTAACTCAAAGGAAAACTGCAGGCTCTTACCAAATAGTCATCAGGCTTGATACCAAAAAGTTCTCTGAAATATCGGAAGGCAAGAGGTGCATATGTCTTAAATCTGAAGTCAGGGTAATGATGAGCAGGGGTAAGATTGCTCCCTTCACTGAAAACAAAAACAAACCAAACCAAATTACTGAGTAATTATTAGCAGCTAGTTTCACTAAGCTGCCTAGCTTGACCGTTTCCCTGCTGAGAAAAGAGCATAAATGCAGATAAACCTCTCTATCATCATTAACCACTAATAGAAATGTCCGTGAGAGACACTGCCAGCAAATTCCTTTTTCTCACCTTAAAGGAAATAACTATTTCTATCACCTGTATGCATTTGCACAAAGATCACGTTTAAACATGAACATGAACAAAGTCTGCCCTCCAGAAGTCCAAGATTTTGTTGACACCGCTGAGTATTGAAAACTCTTGTGTCATGGTTGCTGTGCTCAAGATGGCTCCAACCACAGTGTCTCCCACGAGCCCTTCTCTGTAAGCAGCAGATTCAGCAGGGTAGCTCCTCTGGTAGGCTCATTTCCCATATGTGTTGAGCAGTTGTCTTCACACACTCCAGGAATATCCTAGACTGCCTCCTCTCCCGTGTTGAATTTCCAGCAGACATCTGGCAGGTTAAAATCACCTGCAAGAACAAGGGCTGACAATCATGAAACATCGCCATCACATCATAGAATAGTTCCTCCACCTCCTCATCCTGGTTGGGTGGTCTATAACAGACTCCCACCAGGATACCTGCCTTTTCAGCCTTCCCCCTGATTGTCACCCACAGGCACTCAACCTTCTCATCACTAGCCTTGAGCTCTGTACAGTCAAACACCTCCTAATGGACAGAGCCACCCCACCACCTCTCCTTCCTTGCCTGTCCCTACAGAAGAGCTTGTAGCTGTCCAGTGCGGCACTCTGCTCATCCCACCATGTTCCTGTGGTAGTGACTATGTCATGGCTTTCCTGCTACTTTATGGTTTCCAGCTCCTCCTGTCTGCTACCTGTACTGCTTAGCCCTTTTCCTTGTTTTATATTTATCACCGCGCTCTATTTTTAGCTTGAGTTACAAAACTCTTGAGATTAATACTAGATATAAGATAAAGGTCAGCAGCAAAATGCTGCTAGATTTAAAAAAAAACCAAACCCGCTGCCCATGGATTCATTTATGATAGAAAATGAGAGAGGTCTTTTAAGCAGAAGAATAAAGATCTACATTGTGATTTCAAAACAAACAAGAACACCTTTAAGACAAAGTTTTGGTACTGGAATCAGCAAGATAGAAACTTTCTAGCACATTTTTATTAGCATATTAGAAAGTAGGCCTTTATTACAGCATGCTGGTCACTCTGGGAATCTTTCCTCTAATCAAGTGCCCTGAGAGTCATGTGAATAGAGTTTTTGTGATACACACTGATTATATATTCATTAGCTATCCCCACTTACTTGACTTTATTTGACATAATCACACCCCTTAGTGGAAGTCCTTATCTGATTCTTTGGAGTCTGTCTTCAGTGTCCAGAGTGCTTTCTATGTGGCTGTTCCTTGACCTCTGCTTCTGATTAAGTGCAATATCATTGTTTTGCACAACTTCTACTTTGCCAGCCTTGTAAAGCTGAGCTGGCATCCTGCTTGTGTTTTGCCTTACTTCTGTTTGCCTTTATTTATTTCTCCAAGATTGTGCTGTTTGTTCCACTTTCCTTGATAACAGTAAAATGCTGTTCTGTTTTACTGTTCTTATCAGTTTGGCCAGTGTCTGAATGGTTTGATAAATACAGAAATACAAAATTCAAGACTTGACACAGTCACTGAAATAAGCTTTTCCAGCACTTCTTGACTCATTTACTGTAACTAAATTATTCAGTAATGCAGAATGTACCATTATGCTTGGTAAAAAGAATATCCAAAGGACACCAAAAAGAAAAAAGGCTACAAATTCACACAGATATGAAAAGCAATAAATCTTAAGCAACATTCCCGAAAAAGATAATGAATAAAAATTAAATATAATGAAGGAATTTAAGAGCTTTTATCCTGTACAATTAGTATTTGTCATATGAGCTTGCCACTTTTCATTAATAACAGTTTGATGACAGAAGCCTACTCAACCCACCTAGCTGCCCCTGTGCTGCCAAACCCCACACAACTGAACAGTTTCAGTGACAGCAGGCGAACAAGATTTCTCAGTCTCCAGAAATGTGTAACATTTCAGACTCTTGAACAGGAGATGAAAGGAGGAAAAAAAAAAAAATCAAACCGATTTCTTTCTGGAATTCACACATAAAAAGATGCTTGTGGATGACATACATATGAAGACAATAGAATACTGCTGCTTCTTGGAGCGCTAAACCCTAAGTAAATAGTGAAGGCTACCTAGTCCTAAAGAATTCCTCTGATCACTCTATATTTACTGCAGACTGACTCCAAGATATCAAAATCAAGTCCACATATGACTTATTGTTCCATTATAGAGTTAAAAATGGAAATCAGTAGGATACAAACTGAAGATAGTAGTGCTTCTTTACAGTTAAGATAGACTAATGCTCTTCCATAAGGCCTTTCTACTGCTCAGAACACTGCTAGATTTGTCAGACATTAAGTTTTATATAGCTGGCTGTGACTCATTGAAATTTTGTACAATATGAGGATGCCCCAGTGGTCATATAGTTACACTGGAAACCTGGGGTCATACTTGTAAATGCATTTAATTGTCATAAGATGCAGAAAATAATAGAACAGAGTGTTCTCTACTGAAGTATCACATAATTGTCAGGGAATATAAAGCATCTAAACTTTTTTATTAAGTTTTACATTTCAGTACTAAACGCTTTTATAAATCTGCTTCCTCTAGCTGTAACTTGAAAGCTTCTCCTGTGAAAGCATGTCAGCAAATAGATTACATGTTCTTACTATACCAGAACATGTACTGTCACTTCACTAAGGTGAGATGAAGGTAGGAGGTTCGCTATGACAATAGGACATTTCTGAGCCATTTCGTAAGTGCATATGGAGTAAAATGACCAACACTGGATCAGCAGGTGCACAGTAACACATAGCAAGTGGAGATTTATTGCAAAATAGAGCAATTATTTTGGAACAGCTTCTACATAGAGGGCAATTCCATGTATTTAGAACACATCAGATACTTTATTACAGATACAACAATGTCACTATGCAGACAGCTTTCCTTATTCTTTATAAAATCATCTTTAAAAACACCTTCTGTTTAAGGTCTACAGAGTATTTTACCATACCCTGTTTCTGTTAATCATATGAATTAGTTTCAGCTTCACTACCAACAGAATAGCTTACTGATTCCAACAGTAAGATCTGTAAATCATGAAGCAAACTTGACACAAATTTAAGATTTCTTGTTAGTACTCTGGAAAATAGTTTTAAGGTTTTCCTGATGGCACTTCTAACAGAAAAAGCACCCTCACTTCCAGTAATTTCTTACAGGAATGGAAACCTTTCAAATTTCTTATCAATTTGAAGCTTGTATGACAAGTATGAATTGAGTATGGCCTTGCTCTTTCTGGAAAAAGACACTCCACTGTACAGAATGCTTGATCTAAGTACATCCTAGTAGGGATCCCTACCCTATTTAGAATTATTCACATTCCACTCTATTAGCTATTGAAAGAATGTATTCTGTAGTTTCTCTTCACATTTTCTTGATGCATTTTACAGTTTCACTCTCAGGGGATTAAAGTGTATGTGCAAAGCACTACATATAACGATTTTTAAACAGTCTAGGGAGTTTCAAGGGGACAATTACATCTTTGACATTTAACAAAAAAATGCCCATGATCCATTGGCAAAAAGTTAAATTTGTAAAATGGTGCTTTGGACATAATAAGGGGGTAACCATGTCATTTCCTTCTCAACTACTTTAAGCACAGGTCTACCAGAAAAACAAAGATAAAGTCTTTAAAAAAACTCTAAAAAGCTCTGATTCTGGCAATCTTAAGCAATTCAAGTCTTTCTATATGAGCTATGACATCAAAATACAGGCTTTGGAATGATTAGGCAGCAATTGTAATTTATGAGCTATTTTAGTAACTGCAGATGTTATACCCCACAAAAGAAAAAGATTCATAGGCTAAAGAAGAGATACTAAGCTTAAAATGCAAGCTTGGTTTAATACTTATATTGTAATTTTTTTTTTTTTTACATCAAGCACACCTATGACAGTATGTACATCTAAGCCTGCCCCTTTGTAAATGCTGAGAGTGGATTTAAAGCATAGGTGGTGCAATATCAAACTAAAAGTGAAGTAAAATTAATTACATTTTTAATGGCTAACCCCATGGCTGTAAAAATTTGCTAAACAAGACACCCAGACACATTTCTTGGCAGCTTTTCTTCGCTATGGCCTCACCCTGGTAGGATGCACTCAGGAGATACCACACCTATCTGAAGGGGCAGAGAAAGCCACCTGCGTATCTTGGTAGCAAGCCTTCATCACTGAGGATTTTTCAAAGTCTCTGACGGAGCTGTTATCAAAAGAATTAGTCTGTGGTTGTGACCCTGTGTATAACTTTCCTTTGTGTATCATAAAAAAAGAAGAGGAGGAACACATCAGGTATTTCAGTGACAACAATTCTTTTTTAGATTGTAAAATCAAAATAAAATGTCTAAACTTAAAGGCTCTCAACATTAAAAACTAAGAGCATCCAATTTGCTCTTGAATACAGCTACTTCTTAAAAATTCATCACAATGTGTTTCGGCTCTAGAAACTGTATCAAACACATGCTGCAGGTCAGGTAGTGTTTTGGTATGTTCCTTTCCTGTATGTAATTTCAGGAAAGCGTAATTTCCCACATGGAGGAAGTAGGGATCGTGTTTATCTGTACAAATAGGTGTGTCTGTGTTTTCTGTGTTTTTCATACTGTGGGTTAAAGTCCAGTGGAAACATCTTTTTTTCTCACTTACATTTTCCTAAACTTCCAGTTACCAAATGCTGTCCTGAGAGGTTCCCTGCAAGTCAGCTTTGAAATACAATTAGGAGTAGTAAGTAACTTAAAAACAGGTCAAGTCAATCACATCTACATAACAGCTGAATACAGAAGCATTTACTTACAATTACTAAGATATTATTATTTTACAACCA